GATTTAGTCATTCTTCAATTGGATGAGAGATTTCTCCCAATTCTTCTGATCTTTCCAATTTTCTTTTTCTGTTCCTAACGGTAACATGTCATTCTTAAGAAACCTAGGACATCGATGTGACAATGATACATTAATTAAAAAGAATTATTTCAAAAATTTTATCAATTTTATATTAGAGATAAATTCATATAAATAAGTTTATATATTTGTATACTTAAAACAAAGCTTAATGTACGTTTTACCCTCAAAATATATTCAAAGTCAAGTGTCTGATACGATGGATTATAAATTTGTAATGTATCTATTGTATTAACAAGTGTTCAGTACATGCCCAACACGTGTCAGATTAGTGACACTAAGTTATTCTCATACTTTCATTAGACCCATTTAAAGTAGTTTGAAAACTAGCACGTCTAATATTATAATTGACTAACTACCACTTCAATTTTGTGCTTTAAGGATGTTTTGACCCAACAAAAAAAATAAAATCCTTAATTTAGAAAGTCCATGAATAGCCAAAAGTAATGACTAACATAATTAAAAATAAATAAATAAACATAAAGGATGAATTGATTAAATTGGCTAATGGCTAACATAATTAAAAAAAAATAAAAAATGTAACAAATACACCGAAGTAAGATTAGGAACACAAGTAAAAAAAAAAAAAAAAAACACAAACAGCCAAAAATCAAAATTTGGAAAGTGTTAAACAGTTTTGATATATAGACATTTCAAGACTTTGCTCATGCAATATTCCCATGAAATCTAACACTAGAGCATCATAAAATTTAGAGAAATGATTGAAATTGATGTCATGTTTATATAGGTTGACTTTAATACAAAGGACAAATCGAACTTTCTTAAGGATAAATTGGGGACACCAGCCTAAGCTAATCAGGTAGGTGGCCTTACCATCCGTATGGTTATATTTGATGTTGACTGTGCCCGTGGTTCTACAAGTGTCATATATATTGATATGTGTGAAATGTTTGTGAATCGATTTTCTTATGATATGTTATAATATGTCAATTGTATGATAGTACGTACGGTACCATGTGTTCAATGGTATATTTGAGATAGGATACGAGAAGGATGCACTAAACGTAATGTAACGATACAAGTATGACATGTTCATGAAATGTTATGGTTTGGTTACGTATCGAAGTGCTATGGGTATGACAGATTGATAAAAACGATATGGTCACGATGGTTTCATAAAACAATACGATTAGGCTATGGGTAGAAAGTGATAGGATTATGATAGATTGATAAAACGATAGCGTTAGGATACGTTCCTGTAACATTATGAATAAGGTACGTTCAGGTAACAACACAACTATGATATGTCTAAGGATGTTAAGGCTATGATAAATTAGGGAAGGATATAACCACGAAGTTTTTACGATATGATATGATTATGATACAACATGTGAAGGACGGATATATATCCAACAAGTTTCAAAGAAGGACGTGAGAATAAATGATTCTCAAGCTTTCTTTACATCGGTCAAATAGTATTTGATAAGCTTTCAAAATTAAGGGTTTTCTTTTTTCTTCTTCCTTCTTTCTCCCTTTTCACGTTTAATTTTTTTTTAAATAAAAAAATGTTTAATGTGAGAATGAAGAAGTTAGAAAGGAGAAAGAAATGAATGTAATAAAACTTTTCCGTCGGTAGGAATGGAAATGGTGAATGAGTCCTTGACGATAGTCGACCACTATACTCTAGTTTTGGATGTAAGTGATGACTATCAGCAATATGAGTTGTGTCAATACCACACCGTTATCAAGAGGAAGTAAAGTAGAGTAGAATAAATCAAGCGATCCATTTGTTGAGAGTACTGTAAGAGGCACACAAGTAAGAATGTTGGATATAACTCCTCTTTCACATCTGAATGTTGGATATAACTATTCTTTGTTGAGAGTACTGTAAGAAGCACACAAGTAAGAATGTTGGATATAACTACTCTTTCACATCTGAGTGTTGGATATAACTACTCTTTCACATCTGAGGGATGAGTCTCATAGATCCAACTACAATATCAAAGAAACTTCAGGTGGTAGTGATTGCTTGCAATGGTGTCTCCGTGGTATCCCAGACACATGTAACATCATTTTTCTGGCTCAAATATAGCTTCATTTGTCTTAAAAGTTCACTTTTGAGTAATCCTGGAAGGCTTCTTAATTTGCAGCCTCTGGTGAAGATGATCACTCCGAGGTGGGTTTGTTAGTAAAGATGCAATTGTATAATCAGGGTTTTATATCAATGGTCCCATTTATATCTATAAATGAAATTTGTGGTGTATTTTTTGGAAATTCAACAATAATCATCGGTTATTTGGTTACCATTCTAAAGAAATTCAACTTTCGACCTTTTGTGAATGCTCAAAGCTACTTGCAAAGTACTGTCGATTATGATCCATAATACTCACCGACTCGAAATTGAGGTTTGTTCATGTTTGAAAATGTGACAAACCAAAAGGCAAGATGCTAATTAATATTGTTTGAGATTGTTGTTGTGAATTCTTCATCTTTGAATACATATTTTGGTTGGCTTATAAATTTTTCCATCGTTTAAAAATATTATTTTTTTAGTTTGGCCCTAATTTCATAATAGGTGATTGAATCACAATATTGCAATATTTTAAGTTACTTTTAAAATTAAAGGTCGATGAATAAAGTAATTACGGCAAATTCTTTTTATGCATCTTATTCTGATCTAGCACATAAATGCTTCCTAATTATTTTATTTATTTTTTTATGAATTAGGTTATGAAGATCATTTCATTATAAACGCTTTAATTCAAACAATATTTAATAACTAATCATTTTAATATGTATACTCAAATATACTAACAAGTACTAGTAACACTAGTCTCAATGACTTAAAGAATACAATTATTATCTCGAACTATAAAGAATTTAATTCCAACCTATTCTAATGGACAAACGCTTTATTAGACTCTATTGTAAGATTTCACTTCATCAATTTAAGTAGCGTTCAACTACAACTATAAATATCAAATTCTTAAGTATTCATGAACAAAATCGGCCTAACAATATCTCTGGGAACTATTTACTAAAGGTGTTAGAATGAGCCTTGTGGAAGGGTTGCCTTTAGATGCTTTAGTACCAATTAAGGATGTCAATATCCTAGTAGTGCAGAATGCAGGAAGGTTCGTAGTTGAAAAGAATAACGAGAATAGTGGACATCGTTTCATCTACAAGCGTGTGGTGAACGGTCTGGTTGGTATGACTAGAGAACGTCGTCCTCGCAGAATTTATGTTATTGTAATAGAAGTTATAAATAACGATGATATTCGTTGGTCTTTTATTATAAAGGTGCAGAACTTTCTTTTTGTGCATGTGATATATCCATCGCCACCTACTCATAAGCTCTCATCTTTTAAAGAAGTTCTCGAGTTCCTTGTCTCCAGGTAGCAATACAACTACTAGAATGCTATCTCTACTTATAATAGATTATAAGTAAAAGTGTAAAGTAATTTGTTACTTTTGAACTTAAAATGCATAATTCAATTTATCTTTGTTATCAACAATAATTATCAAACGGTATATAATTTTGTCCAAGTAAGGTCGCTTCTCATTCCCTATATGATATCATAACACAAAATCGAATGGAAGGGTTAACGATAAAATGATAACAAAAACCCATTCGTCGAACTAACTGTAAAGGAAGGGTTGGTTGGAAACCATGTCTATACTTCTTTGTTTTAATCACACGTAACTAAAGATATATAAGAACAACAGAATATGGCATGCCCAGTCAAAACATAAAAAATTTCTTGTCATGTTAGAGTTAATGAATATGGTATGCACAAAGATCCGACGTCACACTTCATGATTGGAGACCAATACAGTGAGCTATGGTCGTCCATACCGTCCTTTGGTCCAATTATGTCAAGCAAATGTTGCAGCAAGCAAAGAGTTTTTAATAAGTTTGCTATTGCAAAGAGCTCGGTTTAAGGCACAAATGTCTCTGATGTGAAAGGCGCACCAATTCAACGAGATTTAAGTAACCATCAATAAGACACATGATACAGCTTGTAAACGAAACGATGTTCATGACTCTTGTTATTTTCTTCCACTACAAACCTTATAGCCTGTTGCACTTTTTTGTCATTGACATCCTTATAAGGGTGTTAGCATGCATTTGGAAATGAACCCATATTTAAAAAATTTAGATAAAATAGAAAAGAATTGTAATCTCAAAGACAATGATACTATGTGAAACTAGCCTCAACTTAACTCTTAGGGGCAGTAAACCAACGGTTCCTTCACCCATGACCCATGGCCCAACTCCTAACATGAAAGGGATAATCTAGAGAATCATTCCAAGACCCCTAACGGATGGGTTACAAACTCACATTATCAAGCTCGACAACAAACAATGCCGCCGGCAAACTTAGGAATAAAAATAGGAGACATTTTATAGATTTAGGAGGAGTAAGTGAAAACAAAAAGAGAGTCATGACCCATTTTCGGTGGGTTCTCGAAGCACCGATTGCAAGTTAAGAGAGGTTGAAAACAAAGTAGAATGTTTTCTCGGAATAAAAAAAGAATTAAAATATAATGAACACATATATTTACATTTACATTATATTCAAAATATCAACACCATAATTGGTGTTGTTTGTCCTTAGTTACAAGACTCATTAAGTAGCCTAATGGTAAGTTTTTGAATGAACACATATATTTACATTTACATTATATTCAAAATATAACACCATAGTTGGTGTTGTTTGTCCTTAGTTACAAGACTCATTAAGTAGCCTAATTGTAAGTTTTTGACCATGTTCATAGTGGGTTCTTGGATACCACACACTTTTCTTAATGATTTCTTGATTCTTGTCGAGAACAGTGGCCCTTAGGTTCTAAGTGCATGGTTCTATGTGGTGGAGGACTTTGGAATAAGGTTTGGAATTGATAATTATTCTTATTTCTTTTCCTTTAGACACTCGGTGGTCGGCTTTGTCCAAAACAAAAGGGCCCAACCAGATTTGAACTAATGACCTCTTGATCTACAATCAAATGTTTTACCACTAAGCTATGGACCCATTTTACATGATTTTAACCTTAGTGACCCCTTCTATGTAAAAAGTGTCTGTCCAAAAAAAAAGGACCCAACCAAGTTCAAACGGGTGACCGGTCAAATTCTCTACCACTGAGCCATGGATCCATTTTGTAGGATTTTAACCTTAGTGACCCCTTAGACATAGTGTCAGTCCAAAAAGTGTAACAAATTTCTATCCAAGATAGAAGGGCCCAACTAAGTTCGAATTGGTGAATCTTGATCAGCAATCAAATGCTCTAACATTGAGCTATGGACCCATTTTGTATGATCTCAACCTTAGTGATCCCTTCTACAGATTATCGGTCCAAAAGTGACCCTACCGAATCGGCTATAGACCAATTTTGTATAAATTGGTGGATTACCTATCGGGAATTAAACACAGGTCGTTAGATTCAAAGTCGAAAGTGCTAACCACTACACCATAGAACCACTTGTTAAACTTTATTTTGGCAGCAATTTTGATAAGCGCCAACAACGCTGAATTTTGCAAAGCTGGAGGTCATAGTATCCTTACTTTCACAAGGTGTTTTCAACTTTTTTTTATAGGTAATTGAACTTTTGAGTCCATGCAAATGATTGGTTGGATTAGTATGAGTTTGAGAAGACAGAGGAGAGAAGAGAGACTTTGTTAGAAACTCTCCCATAGGTAATCTCCCACGGTGTTTTCAACTTCTTTTATAGGTATAATTTTAAAATCAAACCACAACAAAATTTACTTCTATCTAGCAAAATTATTATTTTTGTTTGAAACAAGATTATTCCCTTCTTTTTCTAAAACTAAACTTGACTCTCGAATAGATTTTAATAGTTTTGTTAATTAAATTTTCTTTAAAAATGTTTGTACACAGGGTACAATGGAAAGAATACATTTTTTTTTTACTATTTTTAATTTGTATGGTATTATTGGAGGCTTTTGAATGAAATATGATAATTGATTCTCGGTCCTCTTTGACAATTTTAGATACCTCCATATCCGATATTTGATGCGTCACGTTTCATTATGAGATCTGCCCTTGGGTCAATAAGACTTAAGTAGAGAGTTTATTTGACTAATAATTTGATTTTTTTGGGTTGTAGAGATATCCCTTACAAATCAAGACTTTGTATGATTTTGAAGACACTCATCAAGACATTTGTAAATGTGTCTGATATCTTTAAGGATATAAGACACGTAATTGAGAGAACCTAAATTTTTTTTGAAGTTGGCTTTGTTAGGATACGTCATCACCAAAGTTTGAGACAGACCATTGGATGGGTTTTAATAAGGCTCAAATGAATTTAAAATCCAAGAAAACGGACACAACTATTAATGAATGTACACAACTAGCTGATCTCTTTTGATTACATTAATGAATGTATGTAGATGTTTAAAGTGTTGATCTTAATGGTTTTAGAAAATATCAACACATCATCAATATAAACTATCGAAATTTTTTTAAAGGATTGAAAATATCATTCATAATCTTCTGAAATTCGGATGGAACGTTTTTTAGCCTAAATGGCATGAAGTTCCTCTCATATTTTCTAATTGGACATAAATGCTATTTTATATTTGTCCTTTTAGGAAATTAGAATTTTCCCAAATCCCAATTTCATGTCAAATTTTATAAAAACATTTGACTCTAAATTCTTTTTATCAAATCATTTTTGTTTTGGATTGGATATCTTATTTATTCTAAAACCTTATTTAAAGGTTTGTAGTTAATTACCGGTATCAGAATTTCTGGTTTCTTTTCACCATATTGTTAACCTAAAATGTCAGACATGACCACATGCTCTTTGAAGACCTTATCAGCTTCCTCTGCAAAATATCACCTAAAGTGTTGGTATTTAGGGTTTGATGCTTTTTTACTTAACCCTAGGGTTCTATTTACGGTGAACTTGTGATAATTGTTGTCAAATTATATATTTGAACACCTAATACATTAAGATATAATATCTTATTTAAATAATATTAAAATGTCGTAGAATATCATAATATATGTTTTATTAATATGAATCTCATTCAAATTTCAAATATATTTTTTTATTTAATGTTTATGATACACATCAATTATTTTAATATTTAACATATCAAATACGTTAATATGTTTTGATATTATAGTTCCATCAATTATTTTAATATTTAACATATCAAATACGTTAATATGTTTTGATATTATAGTTCAAGACTATAGGAACTTACTCAGAGGACCTGAGAGTTACATTGGCCCACAATGCATCTCATGGATGATGCAAAACTATGGTGACGCTTGAAGGTTAATTGTATAAAAAACTGGTCATGCACCAAAAAATCATGGGAAGACCATCGATGGAATTGAAGCAATCGACACTCCTCTGGATGGGTTTCCAATCAAAGACCTAATGTTTGATGTTGACTCTTTTGAAGAAAGAGCCACAGGATCGAACAACAAGAAACGTGGTGGTAGCTCTGAGAACTCTATCACACACATAAAAAAGAGCCACAGGATCGAACAACAAGAAACGTGGTGGTAGCTCTGAGAACTCTATCACACACATAAAAAAACGTGACGAAGAGATAGACATTACACAGAAGATCTGGCTTTCATCAGGGAGACTCGAGTTTGATTCTCGACAATGAAATTTTATTTTCTTATTTCTTTTATTTTATAGTTTCATCTTTTGTCACCAATTATATTTAAACTTTACCTAGGTTTGAGAAGCACTTTAATGGATGAGTTTAATAGTATCTTAAATTCAAAAGACTTTTATGAACTTGGTTTGAGAGGCACTATAATGATCAAGTTCAATAGTATCCTAGATTAAAAAGACTTTTATGAACTTTGAACCTTTAATAGTGTTATGTCATAGATATTTGGTTCAATTTCAACAAGTGACGTTGAGGTCATTCAAATGGTTAATGTGATAATCCGATCATTTTCAAGGTCTCTTTTGTTGAATGCCATCATGGCTGAGATGACTAAGATGAGCACCAGAGTTAGTTTGACAAGGAGGGTCGTAGAGAACCACACCCTAAGCCAAGCTCATGTTGGGCTTAACAAACTGAAAATTCAAAAACACAAACCCTTAAATGGGAACCGGGATACAAGGAATTAAAAAACCTTATTTTTGACGTAGAACAATACTTGAAGGTTACAGGAACTTGTTCATAGGACCTAAGAGTTACGTTGGCCACAATGCATCAAATGGACGGTGGCGCTCGAAGGTGGATGATATAAAAAATGGGTCATGCACCATAAACTCATGGGAAGATCGTTGATGGAATCGATGGAATCGATGCAATCGACGCTCCCCTTGATGGGTTGCCAATTAAAGACCTAACGTTTGATGTTGACTCTTTAGAAGAAAAAGCCACACGATCAAACACCTCGAAATGTCACGGTAGCTCTAAGAACTCTATCATACGACCTGAGAGTTGAGGGCTATAGGAACTTTCTCATACGACCTGAGAGTTACGTTAGCCGCAATGCATTTCATGGACGATGCAAAACTATGGTAGTGCTCGAAGGTGAATAGTATAAAAAATGGGTCATGCACCATAAACTCATGGGAAGATCGTTGATGGAATCGATGCAATCAACGCTCCCCTAGATGGGTTGCCAATCAAAGACCTAACATTTGATATTGACTCTTTTGAAGAAAGAGCCACACAATCGAACAGCTCGAATCGTCGTGGTAACTCTGAGAACTCTAACACACATAAGGAAGGACTTGTCGAAGAGTTAGACATTAAGCAAAAGATCATGCTAAAACTCTTCAGCGATCTGACAAAAGACTTCAGCACATCCACAACAAAAATCCATTGTCGTCCAGCGGTCAGGATATCTGGTTTTCACCCAGGAGACTTGGGTTCCATTCCCGACAATGGAATATTATTTTCTTATTTCATTTTATTTTGCAGTTTCTATCTTGGATTAAAAAGACTTTTATGAACTTCGAACCTTTGTTAGAGTTATGTTATAGATACTTTGTTCAATTTCAAATGGTTAATGCGATAAATAAGACATTTTCGAGGTCTCTCTTGTTAAACAACGTCATGGTTGAGATGAGCAGGTGATTCAAATGGTTAATGTGATAATCCAGTCGTTTTCGAGGTCTCTCTTGTTGAACGACGTCATGGTTGAGATGAGCAGGTGATTCAAATGGTTAATGCGATAATCTGATTGTTTTTGAGGTCTCTCTTGTTGAACGACGTCATGGTTGAGATGAGCACCCGAGTGAGTTTGACAAGTTGGGCTGTAGAGAACCACACCTCAAGCCAAGTTCATGTGGGCTTAACAAACTTAAAATCCAAGAACACAACCCCTTAAATGGAAACCGGGATGCTAAGGAATGAAAAAGCTTTATTTTTGACGTAGAACAATACTTGAAGGTTACTGGAACTTGCTCATAGGACCTAAGAGTTACGTTGGTCGCAATGCATCTCATGGACGATGCAAAACTATGGTGGCGCTCTCATGGATGATGCAAAACTATGGTGGCGCTCGAAGGTGAATGGTATAAAAAATGGGTCATGCACCATAAACTCATAGGAAGACTGTTGATGGAATCGATGCAATCGACGCTCCACTAGATGGGTTGCCAATCAAAGACCTGACGTTTGATGTTGACCCTTTTGAAGAAAAAGCCACACGATCGAACAGCTCGAAACGTCGCGGTAACTCTAAGAACACTATCACACACATGAAAGGATGTGTCGAAGAGTTAGACATTACCCAAAACATCATAGTAAAACTCTTCAACGATTAGACAAAAGACTTTAGGACAACTACACCAAAAATTCATTGTTGTCCAACGGTTTTGATATTTGGCTTTCACCTCGGAGATTCTGGTTTGATTCTCTGAAATTGAATATTATTTTCTTATTTCTTTTTATTTTATATTTCATCTTTTAACACCAATTATATTTAAACTTTACCTCATTTTAAGGGACACTTTAATGGTCAAGTTCAATAGTATCTTAGATTAAAACGACTTTTATGAACATCGTACCTATGTTAG